TGCCTTTGAGAATAAATAGGTTTTGAGATGAGATTCAAACGCTTTATTATTTATTTATTTGCATATTGTCATATTTGTTGCCATAACATGCAAAGTACCTAACATAGATCAACTCTGTACAAGAATGTATTTGTGTGTTTTTGCCCTCATGTACTCTAATAATCACACATCAACACCCATGATTAGCAAAGAACACAAAAACAGACACTGGTGTTACAGTAATAAAGACCAGCTTTATTTTGGCTTCTTACAATAGCTAGATACATTAAAGGCTTTTCCAACAAAATGGATACACATCGTAAATCTGCCAGCTGAAAATCATTTTTGAGCTGTAAAATGTTGTAAAACAAACATGGCACACTACTGTAATTGTTGAGTTTCCCCCTCTACATCTCTACATGATGACTGTTACTGGAACTGGAATGAGAAAGTGCCTCGCTGAGAGATTGTTGCAGCATGTTTTGTCAAATGTTCTATAATATAATTTTCTAGCAATAAGTAATGTTTAGTGGACTAAACCAACAGCTATTTCTGCAGCTTGTAGGTTTTCTTTTTGTAAAATATGAAAATGATGGAATCAAATGTCTTTATTATCAAATTCCCAAATGAATAGGATACATCCAAATGAACAGACTACCATACTCTGGTGGCAAAACTGAAGCATACCCAAAATCCGATGTATTTTCAATCAGAATTAGAATTAGTCATTAGAAATTGCCTGAGATGAGGAAAAACAAATCTGCATGTGAAACAAGTTACCATTAAACTGAACAGTGTAGTAAATGAAACTAGGATGTTGAAAAATACATGGTATCCAATTATTTGAAAAACTGTGAACATTTTCTATGACAGAAAACATTTTAAGTTCCTTGTTTCTCTCTGGATAATGACAAACATTGTTGTTGAGAGGAGATGATAGAAAATGTAATTTAGCCAGCTGCAATATTTCTTCCACAACCGATAAACAAATAAGATACAGTAATATCAAACTCTCTTGGACTATTGTTAAACTTGTCACAGTATTTTTTCTGCTTTTGCCAGCACTTCTAACAACAGAATTTCATTTCTCATAGAGATGAATAATTAGCTCTGTTATAACCACCACTTAAATCATAAGTGACCTGAGGTATGGAGCAGTCTGTGAAGAAGTTCGGGAAGGCCAAAGTGCACAGTGCATTGTCCTCTATGGGCCCAGCAGCCTCAGAGGGACAGTAGACAGGAGGCTGAGCTGGACTTGTACGCAGGCTCCCCCCTAGTTTCTTAGAGGGTCCTGAGCAGCTAGTCCAGGGCTCAGAGTAAAAGAGACCACCAACTAAATTGTGAGCATCATAGGAAGCAGGATCCGGGCCTCCCATCTCTTGCTGCACCCGGAGAGGCATGCTTTGATAAAGGTCCTGGTCACTCACCATGTTGCTGTACTCAGGCCCCAAGAGCTCGAAGAACTCTGCAGCCTCAGGATTGCCTCGTTCCAAGTCCTTTAGCGTCATCCCAGATGTGGAACTGACTTTGGAGCAGTTGGCAGGCTCCATAAAGAAAGAGGGGGGCAGATTGCGATGCCTCAGGGGTGGTTTCTTTGCTTTTTCACCCCTTATATCTTTCACAGGGCTGAAGAGGGCTGCCAAGCTCTTGCTCTGTAAGTTGGCCTGGACCCCATCACGCTTAGGTAGAGTTTTGCTCTGCAAAGGACTGGTCTGAGCCAGGGGGGTACCCTGTCTTTTAACCGTGGCTTCTGCTATGTTTCCTGGTGTTATAATGCCTGTGCACCTTTTGATCTGCTTCTGTAGGTACTTCCTGTGGTTCACTTTCCTCTTGGATTTCACTGGCTTGTCCAGAGCCAGCTTGATATTGCTGGAGGCTGAGTCTATGAAGCTCAGCAAGTCTCTAGTGGTCTCTTTGTAGTCCTCATCATTTTCTGCCTCGCCAAGGAGACTCCCATCTAGACTTTTCTCCACATCGTACTCCATCACAGAGCCAGGGAAGCAGAAATTCATGAACTGAGGGTTCATGATTGCAGTCTGAACAGCCATTACTCTGTTGAGCCCAGCGGCTACACCTGTGGCGTCTGCTATGATCCCTGAACCAAAAGTTTCTTCAGTGCATGTCTTTTTTCCTCTGCCAAACGCTTGGTCCTGATGCTGCTCATGAAGTTCCTGTAAACATTCCAGAGTACAAGTGACGGGCTCTGAGGAAAAGAGATCTTTCAGGGGGCTGGACTAATGATGTCAGAACATCAAAGAGGAGGGGCAAAGAGACCGCAGGACTTAACTCTTTGCTTGTGCCTGACCACCTGCATCTAAGAGGGATTTGTCTGAAATTCCCTGCTGAGTTGAAGACAATAACCTCTGTTAGATCTATCCCCCTGTAGTTTAACTGTTTGCGTGTGCTCTGAACCAAAAACTATTTCATGAAACTGGAGGTTATTACTGTAACAGTGACCAGAAAACCCTGAGGATAGAATACTTTTGCTGTGCAGAACAAAAATCTCTCTATTAAATTTAAAAACATCCTTTTTTGTTATACATGATTATTGACAAACAGTTAAATATCCCACAAAATTCCTCAACTAATCAGTGGCATTATTCGTGTCATTCCTGCTTGCTTTTCAAAACATTTTAACCACTATTCAATCATCATACCTATCTATGTGTTTCCTGTCTGGATTACTAAACAGAAGTTAACTTGTAATCTAATTACTGTTCTTTTAGGCACTGAAACAAACCTGACTATCAAATCAAGGCCATACAGTAGTGAGTTCTTTTCTGTGGGAAAATCTTTGTGCTCAAACAGATGCCACTATTTGGGAGAATCTTCCCAACTGCTTGCCTTGTGTCTTAATCTGCTCATGGCAAAAGTTGATTTCTAGTGCATTCCCAGGCCAGTGGGAATTTCTGCCCTGGCCTGACAACTATTATGGGCTGCCTTTGACATAAAGCCCTACAGGGTCTAAATAGCCTCTATTCTTCGCCTGGCAGTGAAAGGGAGCTTTGTGCCAGAGATTCATTAAATTGCACCTCACAGCCCCTTCGTAAAATGGGTCTCAATAATGAACAGTCGATTTAACTAGAAAAGCTGCCGGAGCTGTTAAATTAAAGGGGAATAAAGTGCAGTTCAGGCTTAGTGTGCTAAAAGAAATGTTGACCTTAAGAAATCCTGGGTATGAAACTTCTGTTGTAAACAATAACGTATTTACAGGAACTTTCTTCGTGGCTAGAAGTGAATAAATGAAGGATGTGTCCAAGAGCGAGATTGTTATGTTGCCAGCACTTATCCCAATTTAAGAGGAATTTCAAGTGAATTTTGAGTGAATGTACTGTTAGACGTAGTTCACTAAAAATGTGTAACTTACCGTCACGTTATGCACATATGTTCTATTTGTTAACCAGAAAAAGCATAAGTCTCCATCTGATCACATAAAACCTTTGTTTATAATTATTTTAAGTTAAGATAGAGATACTGCAACTGAATAACTGAAACAAGATCTCTCTTACAAAAGTGCATGTTGAAGTGACTCATTTAAGAGTTGGAGGGATGAAAAAAAAAGTCTGAAGCAGTGAGGGAGTGAGGTTGTTAAAAATGTCTTTCTTATGTTAATTTCTTGGGAGAAAAGGGACAGTGAAACTGATAGCACTGATCTAATTATTTGTGGCCCAACACAAGTCTGGGACTGAAAAGAAATCCAAAAAAAAAACTCAAATCTATGAGCAACAAATGGTTACAAAACAAAGAATATCTTTATGTTTGTTTATAGAACTGGCAGCAAAAGACCTCCCATCCACATGGGGAAACTTCAGAGAATATTCAGTTGTAATCATTTCACCTGCCATTACAGTAATTTATTCGTAAATTCAGAACTTTCAGTTCATTACAGTTATAGCAGGAAATGGACGTCAGCTGCAGCCATATCACGACATCTCATGAATTCAGTGGAGTAGCCTACTGAGCTTTTAACGCTTGCCTGAAGTGATTTTCCCTCCCTCTCTTTGCTAGAGGCACAATTTTGGCAAAGTGACATCATCACAGTCATGGCAGCCATATCCCCTCTTTTTTCCAGTCAAGGGGCTTTGGCTTTTGTGCTTGTGGGTCATTCACATCACAGAGCCTGACGCACAGATCCCGGAAACAAGTTTCTATTGTTGCATAAAGGCTGAGAGGGTGAGAGGGGATGGGCAGACCAGCTCGGAAAAAATATATTAACTGAGAGCACAATGGAGGAGCTTTTGACTTGTTTCCACTCTCATGAAATTATGTGTGAGGTTAATTGTTAAATAATTTTAAAAAATGACTATTATGGATCAGTGTTTATGTTAGCGTTAATCACAGAGTTCAACTATGGACTGAATTTTCAAAAACTTATTATGATGGGACCTTTGGGGAATTTAAATTTGGAGAAAATTATTAGTAATCTGCTGTGCCTTTTCCCCACAACCAGCAAGTTAAGTACACAGATTTGTTGAGATATTGTTAAACATTACCAGCACGCCCTCTGTCCCTGAGAATTTACTTATTCAGCAGCACCCAACCCCAAAGGAGCAGGGTGCTCAGTGCAACGTGATGTGACACACACAGGCTTAATCTCTTCCTACTAGTGTGTGGTCCTTGTTTGAGCAGGGACATACTCAGAGTTTGGGGTTGAGCGAATACTAATAACACCTTTGATTGATGGCCAGTGTCAGAGACTGAGAAAAGGCTAGCAAAATTAATGACCTCTCAAAGTCCTGAGAAAAGTTTAAGGACGGCATTTAGTGGCGGAGACCCCGTCCTCCCCCATGTTTAGCTATGTTTCTTTCTACTAGGGTGTCTGAAATCCAGTCAAGCCTGTGACAAAATGTTGAGAAGTCAGGCTTTGTGTCTCCTGGTAGAAAATCAACCCACATACCAGCACAGGACATGTTCCCCATCTGCTTCACAAAGTCATGTCATGTCAGGAACTTTTACTTTAAAACAAGAGGGGGAGAAAAAGAATTGGCCAGAATAGTTCAAAGAAAATTACAAAGCAAGAATCCGTTTTCATTGCCAGTCAAAGTGTTTTAATTTCAGTGTTTTCATGACAGTTGAGTTGGCAGTTTTAGTTTGATATTAAAAAAAGAAAAAAAGAAAAGAAACATAACAGTGACTTCATGGCGAACTACAAAAGACTTCTTAGTCCCTGCCGAGTCCTGCATCCACTCACTGCCTCACTCTTAACCTTCCATCAACCCTTCTCAACCCCTCTGGCACCCCAGGAGTTGTATTAATAATATTACTAGCAGGGGGGAACAAACCAGGCTCTATGGGCTGCTCTGGTGCCTCAGTTTAAACCTTTAATGGAGGCAGTGAATGAATGCGTGCCAGGGGGAATCCCACAGGTTGGTCCACAGGGGTGAGGTCAGCAGGCATAGCTGCAATAACCTCCCACCACTTACTTTATTGGCCTCCTCCGATTGGTTTTTTATTAAATCTCAAGCACGTGCAATTGTTCCTGCTAGGTGGAAGTAACTTAAAAGCCTCAGTCTCTCTAAAACATGAGAAAGAGTCTGCTCCACAGAACAACAGGACATCCATATATGATTAAAAGACAATTAGAAAGATTATATGACAATATCATTTGTAGCTTTTTAATCAGTTTCACTAGAAGGCATGTTTCTTGGAAGTGACAGCATGTTAAATAATGGTACCACCATTATTAGACATAAATAGAAAACTTCAAAGCGAGGAAGCACTATTCTGTGAACAATAACAAATCAAGTCTAATATTACTTGATTTTCTTTAGATTTGGTGCTAAGCTTTTCTCCTGAGACGTCTTCAAATGATAAGATGCATGTTACAATATATATTAAAAAAAATATACACCTGAATGACCACAATGGCTAATCAACAAGGCGTGTGAATTCGTAATGATGTACAAAATTTAAGATGTGAATAACTCTGAATGTATTACTGATTGTAACACTGACTCTCTCTCTCCAAGCCCTTGGAAATGTACAGTTTGGCATAAAGATAGTGTGTCCTCATTTGGTCTAAGAAGACTGTAGTTGGATACTCCTGATACAGCACTGAACATGGCTACGTGATTAAGATTAAAAAACACTCTCAAGTGATTAATGATATTGTTATTAAAATCCAGAGGGATTCTGAAATATTTAAATTAATGAAATCATTTAATGTGAAGAAAAAACATTGATTAAAACAGGTCAAACTTGGGCATAATGAAAGAGCCAGCACCCTGTAAAATACCATGTCACAAATTAAAGCTAGTCAGTCCAGGTTATAATGACTTTCCCAGTTGTGTAACATTTTGCTTTGTTTTTAGGGACTAAGGCATTGATGCAGTTTGACGTGTCTTTGTAGCCTGCCTGATCCACTCTTGAAAATACTTCACCTCTAACGTCCGGGCTGCACGGACTGAGGGTGGGTCATTGTCATTGCTGTAGCGGAGGTCCAAGTGATGGGCTCCATCAGGAATCATAATGGATACCAGAGAATCTGTTATGTTGTAAGTCACTCCACCAGCTGACCATGGGTCAAGTCCTCCGTTACTGAAATACAACAGCAGAGACAGTGTGCACTGAAAATATATGAGACACTTGTATACAAGGTTGTTCATTTATGGCATGGTGTGGCAGCAACCAACACAAAATCATTAGTGACTTTTCATATAATTGTTTTGTACATTCTAGTATCAATACATCAGAATTCACAGCATGCATTCTTTGAACTGTTATTGTCTTATATGTCCACATAAAGTCTGTGAAAACAAATTTCAAGCACAACATGGTTATTTATCTACTGGGCTACGCCAACTTTACAAGAGGTTAACGTAAGCAAGTAAGTAAGCATGTTTATTTAAATAAATACCACCTTTCAAGACAAGAACTTCACAAAAAAATAAGGCAACAGTCATTCAAAATAGAATTAAAAGTAAAAACACTATAAAAATGTTTTACACAAAATAATAAAACACTAAGAGAAAAAAATACCACTGCTACAAAAATGAGTCTTCATAGGTTGTATTATTATCTTTAAACCCCCCCACATTGGCTAATTAAAAATGATGGTAATTTTTCTCTGTTCTGTTTTTAATGATTGGCACGTGTTGTGATTTTAAGCAATTTATTTGAGTTGCTTTGAAAACTCACATATTAATATCTGATTGCCAGACCTTTTTATAGCTTGACAAGAGCTGCAAATTGGTGTTAGCCTAATATGACCCACCTGCGTGTTTGTGATTGAGCTACATCATTTTCATACTTCTGTCTGCTTCCTGTGGCTACCCAGGTGGGTACTCTTAATTTGCCTGCTATAAAAGCCAGTCAAAATCAAAACTTGAATTGCTCCCACTGCACTAAACACACACCTTCTGTTTAAGCCTGGCAGTTTACAAGCAATGTTTACCTGAAGATGATGTTGCTTTGAGAGGCGATGTCTTTCCCCCCGTAGACTGTGCCTGCCCAGTCAGCTCGTGGCCTGACACCAAAAATGGCGTTACACTCATCAGAGAAGGCCTGGAGGTTCCACTCCTCAGGTTCAAACATGTCCTGGACCCCATCTGTGCACATGGGCATCACCATCTCTGTGCAGGCCTGGGGATGAGGGATTGAACACGTATTCATTGTGACAGGTAAAGCTGCCCACTGACACATCTGTGCAGCGATTTATCCAGCATGTTACTGCACCTGGTAATACCAGCCGAGAAAACCAAGGCTGCCGGTTGCTGTCTGAGATGTGTTGAGACAGGAAGAGCTTCCGGTGTAGTTGTAGTAGACCTTCGCTGCTTGGGAGACACCATGCAGCAGCTCGTAGTCAGACACAGTGGAATCGAAAGCAAGATACTTGCACACCACCTTGAAATTATAACACATTATCAAGCAACACATAAGAATTAACTAGAAAGTTTGTGATTACATTAGTTTAGGCAAGCTGTTAATGCTCTTTTCATCTGTGTTGTTTACAAGACAAGAAGATTGCTTTCTTGTGGCCCCAAAAGTGTTTTTCCACATAAAAAAGTGGTGGCGCCTGATTTGCATATGAAATTCCCTGGAATGAACTTGAATTTATTGCTCTAATCTTGGCACGAGAGGAAAAAAACATCCATTTACTTAAAGACAATGATTTAAATGATTTAAATTTAAAGCTTTTACTCTCCTTACTACTTTTGTTTTGTGTGACCACGGTTGATTTCTCAGAATTAATAGCATGGATGATAAATATTTGAGTTTCAGCTTTTGTTTAATTTCGCTGCGTGTTGTTATGGTTGCAGCAGCAGAGTTGGCTGTGGCTGTTGTTCTGTACTCTTTGTGAGGCAGAGAAACTGGGCTTTCTTGTTTAGAGGTTGGAGGGGAGCTGTGCTAGTGTGGAGTCTGTTACTAAGGCTTTTGTCTGTGCACTGGGGAGGAGTTGGTGGTCGATGGATGAGGAGGGCCACAGACATGTCCAACCAAAGATTTATACCGTGAAAAAAAACACTGCAATTGCTCCAAAGCATCTTCTCCTTACTTTTCAGATAGGATTAGGCTTATACATTCATCTCTGCCAACAGATTTCCCTCCTCTAAGCCCTCAATACCCCGTTCTCACACTCACTCAGATAATCACATTAGCTTTGTCATTAAAAAAGCTCCTCTTTGCACCCACTGCCTAAACTGCTTAAACCACCCATAGGGGTCGCATACATTAAAGGCAAGGAGCCAAAAAACTCAAAATGACCATTTAGTGTTTATTTCACCTTACATGGAGCCCCTGGATTTATTTGGTGGCTAAATGCTAAACAAATAAGAAAACAAAAAATTTATTACACTAGTAAAAGTTAGTTGGTACGAGACTCCTGCATGTGGTACTCAGATGGGTGTTGAAACACCAAGCAGAGTCAGGGTCAATAGCAAAACTTGGTTTAGTCACGTGACATGCCAAGGTTACTGGTGGAATACACTGCACCCAAGTCAATTAGCCTCCACAAAACAGCCACTGTACTGTCACAAGCTTTTCTACATGAAAACAAAGGATGTTTTGTAATGTTGACAACAGGAAAGAGATTTAAAAAGACATTTTAACTTTTTTCATTTCATTTTCTTTTCTATTTTGGCAAGTTATGTGATTAAGCGTTCACATCTAAATGTGTCTAGTGAAGTATTTGTTACAGTCTCATTCAAATGAGAGTGGAGAACCTTTGTTTTAATGGCCTCATGAGCTGCTCTGGGCAAATGTCCTCTTTCTGTGGTGCCATGTGAGCGTCCTAAGAGGAACACCTCAGAGATCTGACGGAGTGTGCAAATGAAAGGACCATTGGTACGAGAAAAGAAAAGAATGGTGGCTTACTTGTAGCTCCTCATCTAAAGAATACTTAAAATCTAAAAGAAACTAGATCCTTATGAATATTAATGAAGTTATTATGAATGAAGTTAATTGACAGCTGTTGTGAACAAAAGCTTGGAAGACCACAACAAACACTTGTAACACAATCGGCTGAATCACACATTCATTTCAATTAAGGACAGGATGTCAGGCTAAATCAGGTGCTTACCAAAGACAAACAAAATTTAAAGTTGTAAAAAAAGTAAAAAATATTTAGTGAGTCAGTTAAACTAGAACTTTAAATTTTATTGAATCACTTTTTTTTAGTTCATAATGAATCTTCGATACGGTATTTTACATGTGGCTGTTTGTACCTGGATCGGCCAGCGAGGAAGTGGCTGGAGAAAATTAGCTTCATAGGGATAGTCCACCATAGCCAGATTCACCCAAGTCTCCTGAAGCCAGTTCTTGAAGCCGACAGCATCATATTTGCTTTTAAGAGGGGCGCATAAACTGAATTCTTCTGACAGCCACTGACGACCAGATGCTTGTCAAAACAGAGCAAAAAATATTAAATGTCATTACAATAGTGATTCCGGCACTGTCCATTTTAATAATGCATGTCTACTACTGTATCTTGTATCTACTACACTACTGGCTACTAACCAATGATATTGGCATTTTAACCAAGATAAACCAATAGTCATTTTGCTAGTATTTAACAACTACAGCTCCCATGGGAGACTTATGTCTTAAACCTTATAATAGCTTTAGCTGGTAAATGCTAATAAAATAACCATTATTCTATGTTCTATCTTTTCAGTGTTTTTCAGAATTAATTTAGTAACAATTTATTAACATTAATGTATTAACTTAATGTATTAAGTGTAACACTTTATTTATTTAAGAGGTAACTAAAAAGACAAAAAGTGTTATGCAGGAGGTGGATTATCTCTAACCTGGCAACTTGAATTTCGTCCTTATTGATATCTTAGACCTACATTGGCAAATGATTAAAACATATTAAAGCTTATAAACCCTTTAAATGGGGGACCTTGTTAGAAAGTGGTATGAACCTTTTTATTGGTGTACTATTACCAATGATGTTGTGACTGAATAAAAAGAACCACTTGTTTCAATAAAGGTTATTCCTACAGTTTAGGATTGTGAAAAGACACATCCTGTAAAGACATACATTCTTATTCATATCTATGCAGAATAGTAATAAACTTAGATTGCAGGTTGTAAATTTAATGGATCCACATAATCTGTTTTGCAATTTTTCTATTCAATACAATGTGTCATCCGTGGAGAGGAGCCAGACTTTATACCCAAAGTTTTAGGAATAGCTGTCTGATTTTAGACTTTAGTCAGTTCATCAAATTCACACATGTGGACCATAAGGACAAACAGGTAGAAATTCTAAAGCCTTTCTCATAGATAAGATTAAACATGGTTAATTTATTATTCTGAATCATTAAAATACATCATGACTATATGACTTACCAGTGGAAGAGACATTATTAATAGCCTTCCAAGACTCTCTGATGTTTGCGTCACAGTTATACCCACTTCTGGCAAAGTCCTGTGTTACTATTTTGTAGAAGTCCCCACATGGCACCATATCACGAAACTGCCATATTGGTGCGGAGGATGCCAGAGCTCTGAAATACAATTAGAAGCAAAACCATTTCTACTTTTCTCTCATTATCACACGCTGGACATCCATAATCCTGGGTAATCTTAAGGCTAGGGAAGGCAATTTATTTCAGAAGCAATTTTTTGTTTTATTTGTTGAAATTCTATTTACATCAATAGCAACAGAAAAAAATCTGGTATCTGTGTCTGGGGGGATTTTTTTACTTGGATACTTTCAAAATCTAGTTGTCTCTTGCTAGTTTCTCCAACAGTGCCAATCCTAGCTTGAATGTAATTTGTGTCACATTTTGATGGGGAAGAATATTGATTACAAAGGCTGTAGGCCTATAGAAGCAATAGATTGCTGAATCGTGAAGTGACCACAGACCAGTCAGTTAGGTAAACATGATCCCTGATACTGGATTCCTAGGTAATGAAGCTGAAAAATTTCCTTCACCTTCTGCTACTGTTTGGAGCTGGAAACATGCAAATTTTCTTGGTGCATCTTTGGGGAAGTCCAACCCCAATGTCCCCACAGCTACACTCATATCTTACCCAACAACTATATTGGGGTATTTCATCCTGAACCAGGCAGAGAGCATCCCTCCATAGGATCCTCCGACAGCGATAACAGGGCTGTGCTGAGCTCCGGGTAAAGTACTTTTCAGGTTCTGAATCAGCACTGCAAAATCTGCCAGGGCTTGCTCTGAGGTGAGGTAGTTGAGGTGTTTGCTATCCTGCAAGCAAATGACAAGTATTGTTGTAAATTAAGAGTGCAAAACAATAATACACATACGGAAAATTATTTACTGGCACTGAGAATGAAATTTATTTTGGCAAGTAATGTTCTAACAGCTTTAAGATTTCCTATTGGTTTGGGACATAAGAAACAAAAAAACATGTAATGAAACATATTTAATCAGACTTTGGTGTACTCCAAGTGTAACACTGCATCTTCACTTACACTGTAAGAATCTTGTCCAAATGGCAGGGACTCTCCATAGTAACGATGTTCTGCAAAAACCAGCATGGCACCCAATTCCTCTGCAATTTCCCACATGAAGCCCTGCAGAGAAAACAATGACAGTTCAATTAGACTGAGGATTATGTGCAGTGTATATACAAGGTAACAGATATTGGGATATAGGGATATTTACAGTATTGTTGCAGAACCAGGTGATGTCTCCTTCATTGCCAGTGTAGAACAAAATAGGTCCTCCAGGCTGCTGCCAGTGTTTGTCAGCCACAAGGTACCTCTGTTTGAAGGTGCCATCCTCTAGGAATCCAAAATGATCAATCTGTAACAAAAATTTGAATAAACTGATAACCCAAAAAACACAAATGGTATTGTTATTCCGCAAAATAAAGCTTTTAAGATTTAGCTTTTGTTGACAATGTGTCAAAGAGACGTTTATTTAATGTAATTTAAATCTTTATTTTACACATTTATGCTGATGACGAGCAAGAATGTAAGTAAGTAATGTAACTATTGATTAGCATTCAAATTGCAAATTAGACTGGTCTTGATTTGACCCACAAAGCTATCTCCTGTTGTAACATAACGCAGTTGAACAAATGTTTAACAAAATCAGAGCCAGTGGCATCAGTAAGATCTGACATTGTCTCATGCACTGTCCCACTTGTTGACAGAAACCTAATGTGGCAATATTGAATCGATCAAAATCTATGCATCAGTCCAGTCCACATAAACTGCTCTGAGCTGGATACCTGGCCATGTGCCAACCATGGTGTTGTGAAATGAGTTGGATCCTAGGGTAATTAGCCCCAATTTGTATTAAAAAATGTTAGAGCCAGTTTAAGGGATGCCACATTAGTTCCACTTTAGATGAGCTCTGAGATTCATTTCATCAAACCTCAGGGATTCTGGGGCATCTTCCACTTTCAACTATTTTTCCTGTATTCTTTATCAAACAAAAGCAGAAAGTAACCAATGACTTCACAGAGAAGACAACCCCATGATGCTGCTGAGATGTCCAGCCCTTGAAACAGTCCCAACACTTAATACAAAATGTTTTTGTAGTGTTTTTTCCCCCTGCTCACTCACTTCCCTCCTCGGTGGATACAAAGGAGGCAGCAATTTTATGAGCCAATGACAGCAAAAAGATTCTGGGGCCTCAATGTGTTCATTCAAGCCTCGACTCCTTAGCACTTGGCAGTGCTTTTGAGTGTGAGGGGACCATGAGAGCACTTAAAGGAAAACTTCAGCAGTCCGGCAGCAAAATAAGTTTCCGTGGTGTTAGTCATCCAAAGTGTAATGTTAGAATTTTATGAAAGCATTTAAGTTGGTTTATGTCTTAATTTGTTTAGATATCACTTTTTTTTATTGATACCAGGGTTTTCAAATGGTAAATGATTTTGATAGTTGAATTACTGAAAGCCAAATTCTCTTGCAACACAAACAAATTATTTCTTAAAAAAAAAATAAATACTAAAGCTAAAATGGTTGGATATATAAAGTGCTTCACCAACAGGACCCCTGGTGAGTACTGTATCACTTGCACCCACTCAGTATTCACATCACTAAACCTATGAGATTGGTTTCATAACAAATCCACACCCTGATAAGTAGTGCCACCATGTGGTTACTGCAGGCAGGCCTTGAGCAGTTTGTTTCAATTAAAATTCAATTCACATACTGTCCAACTACTGAACTAGTACTTTAACTATTCTACAAGAAAAGAGACTACATCTGTTGCGTTACAATCAAGCAAATAGAGACATGAGGGAAACAACCAAAGCACATCAAGGATCCTAAAGGACACTTCCATTCATTGTCTGGAGGTAAAATGCAGTCAAGAGGATTTCCTCTGGACAACTGCTTGATCACTTGGTGCTCTCCTCACAGCAGCCTGTCCCACAGAGAGTGTAGAAAAAGGCTGCAGGATTGATGATTCTTTTGTTTAAACAGCAGACTTGCTACTGGTACTGAAATGTGGATAAAAGTGATTTTATTTGTTGTACTTAGTCAAGAAGGAGCATCCAATTTATTGATGATGGGCCAAAAAAACATAAGACAAGACAATGGGTGTCAGAAGGGAGGAAATGGTCTTTATCTTCGTGTCAATGTGGCTAATTAGGCAGGATGCCGTGGGTTGGACCAGGTGTGCAGTATTGTCCCCTAATCCAAATACTGTTCAGTGCATACACACTACAAACAGTATGTAAATACTTAGGACTATAACTAACAGTAATTTTCAGTTCATCGGATGATTACTTTCTTTATTGTTTTCTCTGACAAAAGTCAAAAACACAAAGACATTTCATTTATCATAATCTAAGACTGTATTAGTGTTAAAAAAATATTTTTCATGTTTATGTCAAATTCGTTGTCTGTCAGGTCATAATATTTTTTAAATTATAATAAAGCATTTGTTTAACCAAAACACACTTCTGTTTTAATAATAATAATAATAATAATTGTGTAATACTGAGATGTTATCTTACTGTGAAAATCTCATACCATTGTGAAGCACACAGAGGCAAAACAACGAAAATACAGGACAAAGGAAAATTGTGTTACTTAATTTCAGATTTCAGTTCTCAGTGAGCCAAACATTTTAGACCCTAGCACTATCAACTTGTGAAGAGATATACCAGTTTACTGAGCACCTTATTATCTGAATGCACCATCACGACCTGTGGTTACCACTGAGCACTGTTTACAGTCATGGTAGGTGGTGTGTGTGTATAGTACCATAGATGAAAATCAAAAAGCTAATAGATGAAGGTAAAGAATGACCTCCTCTCAATAAAATGTGTATGTTACTAAACAATTATTCTTCTTTACACCAAAATGACACGTCATCCCTTAAATGTGTGTAACGTGGCTAAGTTTACCTTTCACAACGTTGCAGGAATAGGAGAGTAAATTAGATAAAAAGTTCAGACTTGTGATTGTATGAGTCAGGTTCACAAGTCACTAAATGTGATGCACACTCCACATGTGATTCTCCATGAAGTAACAGTAAATGGAAAATGTAAAGGCTGAATGAAGATCTCTCAACCCCCCCCCATGAGGTAAAATGTTTCAGATTCACTGAGCCCTGGAGACCGTTTTAGGCAGGAAGCCAAGAGGGATAGTTACAGTTCTGCTGGCAGGAATAGAGCCAATTGTGATGGTTTTCCCTTCACTACAGGAAGACAGAGGGAAACACCTATTGTCTGCAGACACAACACATGAACAACAGAATTACTACAGAATTAAGTGCATTTCAATTTTTAGAAAGAGCAAGTGGTGCAGGAATTAGTAAACTGCAAACAATGAAGCCAAGTAATACACTGGTAAAAAAAAAAAGGTGAGCAAACTCTGATGAGCCTGTAATAATCACATAATATAATCAGTATATATTTTAAGAAAACATTGTTTTATGCTTTTGTCATTATAACACCAGTCTGATCATAGTTTACTGTATTATTTTACATCACAAGATGTTTCAGGCAAAATATGGGAAACGTTTCTATTTATTTTGATTATTACTCTTCTAAATTCAGCCCTTATGATGCAAATCAAACATTTAAAAGTGAAGTGAAAGAGAAAGAAGTAAAAGAGGAAGAAACCAGTGTGAAAGTATGTATGAAACATATCTGTAAAATACAGTTTTCAGAGACAAGTGGGGGAGTTTTAAACAAATTAAGAGACATTTTAAACTCACCTTCTGGTCAAAATAAAATGTTTCATAGCTGATGGGGGTCTCGGATGAGTAAGGTAACCCACCAATCCTGGTAAAAAGTTGTGATTTGAGGGCGATCACGTGTAAACAGCCGAGACCCAACGTTAGGATGCAGGTAGCTGCAGCTCTCTTCAAAACCTCCGTCCTGACTCCAGCCTTCATTGCTGCTATTGTCAAACACTGCTCACAACAAAATGATCGTCAGCACTTGATCATGAGGTCGCATGATCTTGCACTGAGAAGAGGAGACCTGTCCCGTAAAAGAGAGGAAGTGAGACTCGCATGTAAGCAAATCCGGAGAGGTGTTGTCAGACAGCGTGTGGCCTAATTTTGCAGCAATGCAGAGGCGGCCCGCAGTTGCACACGCAACATCAGGTTCACCGTTATCCCAACATTGAACAACTTTAATTTACCTGTAGCCGGCTAGCAGACAGCAGATGGTTCCTAACTTCCTACTGTAACGCTCGCAAGGGTTGACGGGAGAATGAGTTGCACATGTGCATGTTGATGTTACTAACGTTAGCTGTCTCTCAAGGCAGAAGTACACCGGAAACATGTATTGATGCTTCGCTTTAACAAGCCGAAATCACGCAACCACGAACGAGGGTTTGCTTCATTTGAGTGTAAAGATCCCAGTTGTGTACTATTGTCTAGACGTCTTTATAATGTTAAGGTTTTATTTTGAAAGCATATACCGGAAATGTTACTATACTCAGCCGTGATGGTTGGCACTAGTGGACTAATAGTTGTAATGAGTGTGTAATATTCTTACTGTGGATAAAAGTTGTTCTTCCAACGTTAATTAATCCTGGAAACTGTTGATATGGTTGACATAGCGTCTTTATTGGACGTTTTACTTTTGAAAGTTTGTACCGGAAGTATTGGTATTCTGTCATATCTGTATTGATCTGTTATTGTTATTGCAGTAACTCACTGTAACCACTAGAGGGCAGAAAACACTTGTAAACATACTCAAGACAAAGTAAGTATATATTACACATATTACAGTCGTGTTTTTAAAAAATATTTTTCATTAATATTTATGATTAACATTGATTAGTCTTTCATCTGTATGTATTCTAGGTGGCGATGAGGTTTTCCTGTGTATTTAAAATTCTAAGTGAGGAATCGCATATTCAATTTAGTTTAATATAATATATAGGTAAATATATAAATATGTAATATATACCTGACCCCCACTCGCCCTCTACTCTGTCTGATTGGCTGAACCCTTAACCAACCAATCAGCAGAGGCAATGAGTACTAGCCAATCAGAGGCAGAGTTATTGGAAAGCTGGCAGAAAACAAAAAAACAAAACAGCTTAATCTATGAATCTGATATGTCTGTACTGGCTTGAAGGTCTTTGTGATATTCTTTTTTTTTCTTTATATATTTTTCTCTTATTTTTTTGTATTGTTGTGGTCCCCCCTAGCTATATTTGTATCTGTTACATGTTATATGTATCCTTGTATGTTACCTTGTTAATACTTTTCTTCTAGTAAAGAGAAGGAAAATTATGAATCTGACACACTGGCCATTTTAACAGAAACAGAACATCCTGTAGTCTGAGCACAAAGCATAAATAATCAGTATTTGTAACTATTATTCCAACTAAAGTCTACAATGGCGTTGTGTTTTATGATACAGTTCCTAACTGTCACCGCTGGAATACAGTAAAACTCATATTTCTAAATACACAGGTCAAGTTAGCAACTGGTATGTTTTATTTACCAGTTTTTTAATCTTAATTAAATTTTTATGGAATTAATTATCAATTACATATCAGTATTATTATAGTATATTTTTAACCATCAGCTGCTTCCGTTTTCAGTGGCGTTTATAAAGACCTCTGGTTATATTACAGACATCCACAGTCTATGATTTTCAATCAGGACAATCGTGGACTACACAGAAGGGAGGAAAAGGCAGATTTTACCATACTTTATAGCATACTTTAAATAACTAAAACATCTCTATGTCTGGGAATTATTTAGTAGTCGGACTTTTGAACTCACTTAACCAGTGAAATGATCGGCCATAAGCAATAATAACATGACAAATACAAGCTATTTAGTGGGATTATTTAATGTTATACAGAGTATCTTTTAGGGATTATTTTGTACACATAAAGGAAAAGAAGCACAACATCCCATTAGTGTTTTCCTTTGCCATATTGCGTCGACAAGAAGATGCAAGGGATTAACAATAAGTAACTGCTGCTAAATCTAATGTAAAAGGCAAAACAAAACGCTAGCCATGTTGTACAAAAGGATTACTGAACACAAAAAGTATAAAAGCAAAGTGCCAAGATACACTACATGTCTGTACAACAAAAGACAAAATGTTACAATAAAAATGTGTGCAGTATATGGCATTGTGCAATACAGTACATTACAGTTATGGTAAATATATGAAAGATAAAGTTAGACACTACAAATTATGGCAAAACATGCTGGACGGTCAAGAAATTTCACAATAAAGGCATATGAAGTACAAATCATACGAAACTACATGAACACACTCCTTCAAACAAATAAGAAGTGATACAATTTCATGGCTAGGCAGCAACAACAAAGGCAGAAATATTCACGTCTATGGATAAAAGAAACGGCTGATGGTAAAAAAAAAGTAAATTGATTAAAGTGTTTATCATTTCTATTGATAACTGACAATATCTGATGCCTTTTCAACTGCTTCAACCTATATCAACTGACTAATTGCAAGCACTGCAAGTATGTATGTAGTAAAAAAAAAAAGATGGGTGTCACAGAATACTGTTTCAATATAGTATTGATACTTTGTACGTGTGTTTCCGTTTATGCTATCTGACATAAAAACATATTTTAGCAGCAAGTAAAAATCTTCTATTGGGAACACATATTTCACAGTTTGTAATGACAGGTGCAAACAACTACTCAGAGATGATATACTGAAAGTTAATGAAATTGTATGCGATTCTCGTAGAAGAAACTAGTGGGAAATAAATGATTGTGCAACAGATTTTAGGCTAAGTTTGCAAACTTGATCCGTCTTGTTAATCTCAAAAACATTTTGTATGTAAACATATTGTCACCATTGATAACCTCCAATCATCATGACACTTGTCTGCTTTGTGGAATCTGTAACAAAACACCTGGTAGAACTTTTTACTCACATAATACTGCTGGTGAATATTGATGTTTAATGAAAATGGATCCTAAAAAATGATGAAGAAATTTCTATTTGAACCATGAAGAGGACAAAATGGAGCCCTAATCAGATTCCTGGATGCATCAGGCAGACATACTTAATATCCTGCTGCATTGTGGACAATGTTCTCCATAATGGCAGCATCTTAAAATGCTTGTTCCTGAAAGGCCAAACTAAAGTTGACTTAACTCCTTTGTACAGCTTAAAAAAGGCATGGGACTAGAAATGACGGGACTAAGAAGTGGCTTTATGCCATTTTAAGAGGGACGGAGGCATTGGGGCTCAGCCATCTGCCCTCTACAGTCAATGGCTACTGAGATAACAAGGCCAAAGGAACGCTGAGCACTCTTTAATTGAGGCTGCAGCAGTTCAAGTAACTGATGGTTTTACCCTCGCCGGGCATTGGGGCAGTGTCAGTGTTATCCAGCTTGTTCTGCTTGGCCTCTCGAATGAGTTCGCAGGCCAGGTCGAGGAAAAGTTTCTCAACGTTGTCGGACTCTTTGGCCGAGGTCTCCAGATACAGCATGCTCTGAGCATCAGCGAAGTCTTCAGCCCTCTGTCTGAGAACCTCTCTCTTCTCTGCCAGATCAATTTTATTACCTGAGGGATATATAAAGATATATAACATTCATCTGTCAACATAAATAACAAGTAAGAATGTGGCTTCTTGCGTCACAGACAACACAGATTGTCTTTCTCAACAGTGGTGGGTGGGTGGGTGGGTAGGTGGGTGTAGATGAGACAAATGGAAGTGGAGGTGTATGTGTGTGCATACGTGTGTGGGGCGGATGTAAGCAGCTTTTTTTTTTCAGATGAAAAATTATTGAGAAGTGACAAAAGTTTCACAGAAATCACACTATGCAATGTACATTAACAAAGACAGACATCTTTTGCAAATCTATTCAGAAACTGCCTCTGACATCTGCTCAGCAATTCAGGCCTACATTTAAGTAGGCTCAGAAAACCAGGCCAGTTCCAGTAAAATATAGTGCACATTATTATTCACAGTTTTCTCACAGTGAACAATGAGCCTGGTGATAAAAGAGGTCCACCAGTTATTATATAGTAGTATATTATATATATATAAGTAAAGCTTCTTACCGACTAATATAGTCACCACTTGGTTGTTGGCATACTGCTCAATCTCCCTCAGCCACTCTGGAAGGCACCTGAAGGAGTCCTCACAGGTAATGTCGTACGTAAGAATGAGGGCGTTGGCACTACGGTAATAACTCTGAGTAATGGAGCGAAATCTCTCCTGTCCAGCTGTGTCCCATATCTGCAGCTGGAAAACATAATGAGCTGAAATGAGCGACTGCCCATCCTAACTATTAGAAAACATAAAGGCATCAGATTTTACATGTAAAAAATATTTTAAACTTTGTGTACCTTGACCTTCTCCCCTTTAATTTCCACTGTTTTAATCATGAAATCTACTCCAATAGTAGCCCCTTGTCCAGGTGGGAAAAGGCCCTAAATTAAAAACAGAAATATATAGTCTGATACTCCAATAATCTGTAAATCAAAAACTCCATAAGCTCAGACATATACCAACCTGAGTAAAGCGCCGGACAAGACATGTCTTCCCAACTCCGGCATTTCCTATCAGAACTATTTTGAACAGGTAGTCATAATCCTCCATGCTCATGCTAAACTGTGAAAAATAAAGGAAGAAAAGAAATGGGTGATAAGTGAATGCATTAACATGAAATCACCGCATTAGAGAAAAGTGATCCTAATCATTTTCAGCACATGTTGATGCTACGGCCACAGTTCTGAAGTGAAGATGCTGTGCAAACTGTTGTAAAACTGGTGTACAAGCCAGCAACCTCAGGAGAGATCACAGCTGACATTTGACATGAACACTCTTCACTAATACAAATCAGAGGAATTGTGAGAGAAACATGCCCTGGTTTGGATGTATGTTATGTAAATAATAATGTAATTTAAGTTCAAATTTAACTCATTTGCACATGCTCTAATTGTACTGGAAACTGCATAATAAAAAGACCATTTAGGTAACTGCTCACTCAAAGCAAAAGCTTTGGTTACTCAAGTATCAGTTTAATAACATGGTTATTAATGTAGAGGTTAGTCCCTATCTCTGATACTGATTGTGATAAAATACACATTTTCTTCAATTATGTTTTGATGCTCTCTCATCATCAAGGCATCAAACAGTGAACACAGTTTGGACTGTGAGAACAAAAATATACAGTTACAGGGAGGAAATGTTTCTTTTTCACTTCTCCAGAGGATCACATGATATGTGCACAACATCACTTTTGGGGGATAATGGATCCACAGAGGTTCAAAACACTGTTTGACTGAATAAATTAAGCACAAATGTATAGCTAATGGGTATCTGTTAGTCAGTGTCCACACACAACACAGTCGCAAGTGAAATAAAACGCATGTAAACAGGAATGGTAAAATATAATTTTAGGATTGTCTGCAGTACCGTATGTGCTCCGATACACTGTGAATCGGGCCTATATACGTGCGTGAAAACGAAATATCTCACTGTAAAAAAAAATAAAAACACATTTAAGAAATGAAACTGTTGCTTGCGAGGTGGATAACTGGATGCCAACTTTGATGCAATGAACCATATTTCGAGGTGTAATTCAACTAGAATCATGTGCATATAACCTGGAATTTTCTCTGTGTCGCATTTCCTTATGAACACTTGTTTCTGGTTTTGTAATGCAAAGTCAAATTGTAGCATTCTGAACAGACCTAATCTCAGTTAACGTTACATTTCTTCCTAATTATGTTTAATTTTCAATCTGACTTGACAGCCATTAGGGCGAAGCTAGCGACAGTAGCAACTAGCAGCTACCGTGTGACTAGCCATTTTGCCCCTTTCTGCAGATGCAGGAGGGAAAAATCACAGCCAGCCTGCGCATCGAGCCTGGAAATAGTTTGCACTTACCAAAAAACACGGGGGTATCCCCGGACTTATAACCACTTGGTATGCATAGGTCACCTCATCAAATAGGCAAAGCCACTGCTGGGCAGGGCATTATTCCTCTGGCTGTGTATCTTCAGCAGCTCAGCAGCAGCCCGTGTGATAGAGGAGGAGGAGGAGGAGGAGGAGGACTGAACTCAATGATGTCATCAGCTCGCATGCAAAGCTACTCAGTATATCTACTCAAGTACTATAAAGTTACTTCAGAAGGAACTGCATATTATTGAAGTATTTGGGTTAGTTACGTTGGAAGGACACACAGGTCTAGAACATTGTTCACGAACATAATTAATAGTAGTGCCATACGACTTCTAAGTTACTATTATTCTTGTGCTACTGATTCTTGTGCTAGCTTAACTTAACGTTAGTGGTCCTGTTGCTTAACGTTACAGCGAGCCTCGTCTAGTGAAAATACGCGCTTTTGTGAGTGGATAAGAGTGGTATCTGTATGATATTTTAAAACAAAATCAAACCAATGTAATGCCATCGAAAATTAACCACCTTTATCACTAAATGTAAAGTTTTAGCGTTTGGCGTTGGTTGCTAGGAAACAGAATAGGCGGAAACTGAAGCGGTTCTCCTTTGTTGTGCCCGGACGTTTTATTCGGTTGCAGAGCATGCCCTTGACTTCCTACGAGAGGTGATAGCGGATAAGTAAACGCAGGCACCTGGGAGGTCACTAAAATTTCTGAATTGACGGGGAAATTTCTCGCCATGGGGTTCGTACCAGACGAGGCAAAGTCTCTCCCTCCCCCGGGAGTCGTCAACAGGAACTCGGTGTGGCTGGCCGGTGTAGGCTGGTGCTCCGCTTTGCTTCATAATGCCATTAACCACAGGCCGCCGCTAAAATCAGGTTAGCATGTTTGCTAGCTGGCTTTCAAACTGTCTTGTCTGGTGCACTTTCCTCTGAGGCGTATGCAACATTTAATCATAATGCATCAACTACCTGCCCTGATATGGTGCATTTAGAAAAGAGTCGGGATTCAGTGTCATAGAAGAGCAGAAATTCGTTATGACACCTTCCTTGCTATATCTTAAAGTGTGTTTCACCATTTTTAGTACCTCTGTTCTTAAATTAAATAACAAATTAGCTGTTAAATAATTACAAGCTAACTATTAAATAATTGCTCTGTTCATATAACGCTATCTGTGACAGGCTTAGAGCAGTATGTAGTATGTAGTAGTATAGTACCTTTAACTCTGTAAGTAAAGTACCTTTTAACTCTGTTTTGATAAGTGTTGTATAAATAAACTTTATTATTATAAGAAATAATGTTAGTATCCATCGTATCGTATGTTTTACTGAGCACAAAGTGGACGATAAATTCACCCAGTAACATTTCCAGGGTCTGTTTTGTGGTGCTCATTGTAGTTTGATTTTTTTTAGATCCAAACTGTCCCAAATACGGCATATTCTACTTGGGCTTTGATTATGTCTTTTATTCGAGTTTTGTATTGGATATAATTACAATACCAGGTAACATTAGCAAAACGAATTGAGCTTTCTGAAACGTGTTCCTCCTCATTGTGAAAATAACAAGGTGCAAGCAGGTGGTTGCACATAAGCAAAATGAAAGCTTTTATTTTGCTTTCAGTGCAAAGTTCACATTACAATAATTTTCACGTGTCCTGAAAACACAATCATATCATCTCTCCTGTCCTCTTTTCCATTTTGTAGGTGCTCATAGACAAGTCCTGCTGGCAACAATTGGTTGGTTCATCGGTTACCACCTTACAAAGTATGAAAATTACACTTATGCCAAACTTGATCGAGATATGAATGAGTATATAAGACTCCACCCAGAGGAATTTGCAGCAAAGGGTACGTGAATTTTCAGTGTTTTTGCTCTAAACAGAAGACACAAGAACCCAACAATATTGCTTTCCTCATGTATAATATTTGATGGATATTTCTTCAAATTTTTTGCCCTGCCATTGTTTTCTATATGTTATTCCACTACACATTATCCTATGTGCCTTAAAATATTTTTCATATATTTTATTAGCAATATTATACTGATGACAGAGCAGAGACTCTTGAAATATTGTCAGTATGAGGGTATGAAGCCCCATGCTGTGTAGTTTGTGTAGTGTTTAAAATTAAAAATGCAGTGGCCTGTGTGTAATCAAATGTCTCTCTGTTTCTTTCATGTCACCAGAGAAAAAGACCTTTGCAGAGATTGTTGAGCCTTTCCATCCTGTACGCTAAATGTCGGCGGCTGGTGAGATGGAAGAGGGGAAGGAAAGAGAAAACATTTGCAGACTCGATTGGTCTTTTTGTGAACTCTTTCTGTCATTTATTGTGTGAAATATAGCTATGTAAATAAAGAAAACAACCCACATTTTCTGACTCAAATGTTCCTTCTGTAAGGTTTGGTGTGTTGGGACTCAAATCAAGCCTGGAACACTACTCTGTTGTTTCATGATAATTTTATCAGTCAATATTTTTTGCCATATTTTCAAACCATGGTTCTCAAGGGACTATTAGAGTTGGTAAACTAAATTAAAGAGATACAGTTAATCAGTTTTGGCAATACAGGTTTATTGCATATTCATTAAGTTAGAAGCATGGGGTCACATAAGATGTTCAGATGACTTTGTTACATATACAGCAGTTTTATAAACACAAGATGTTTAACTTGATGTCCACATATCTTACATGTATTTCTAATTTACCACTCCAATTATGTCCATATATTTCTCAGTGAGGCCCTGAGTCTTCTTAGTGAGGTCACTCATCACAGAAAAGAGGCCTCTCAGGTGGAAGCGGAAGAGAGCTTCAGGATCTGTGTCCAAAAGAGGCTCCAGAGTTTTGTTGAGCGCCATGTTGTTCTTGGCGTTGTGGTCATCCAGGGGAACCAGGCCGATCTCTACTGTGTTTCTTATGGCCTTGAGCATCAGGTAGTTGCCATACAGGTCTTTGCAGGACTCCTCTGCGGCCTCACAGTCCCACACATCATCAGAGGGCACATCTCGCAGCAGGCTCGGCAGGAGAATGGTCTGCTCCATGTCGCTGACTGTGGCACTGTATCGTCTCAGAGCCAAGAGCAGGCTGTTTTTGTTGAATTTGGCCTCGGCAGACTGCATGGTTCCAGTTGGATGTGGTTGACTGTTCCTGTGTTGTGGTGGCTGACAGTAGGAAGCAGTGTGCAGTGCAAAGTCATGAAAGCAGATACTGGTGAATTTATAGGATGAGCGCAGGTGGGTTAATCAGTGCAGTTACATAATTGCATCAGGCGATACATTTAGGAACACTGAGTGCTATGTTGAGTCAAACCCTTATCTTTATTTGATTTACACAACCTGCAATTTCGCCGATGTCATAACAATGTCTGACCAGTGTGTGTGAGAAAATGAACCTCTGTCAAATCATTAACCAGGCAGACCATCATGTTTTAATGACTAATGTATAAATAGATGATATTTGTTTATTGAAGTAAAAAAAAATGAGCGTCACCCAAAGAAGAGCCTTATTGTTAAGCTGAGGTCAGTTGTGTTTATATTTGCAGGCCGTCTTGTACTGTATTCTTGAACTCTTTTTTTCTGTTGTTTGTTTGCACTTAATATTGAAGAGGCAAAGAGAACTTGGATGATTAGTCTTTAGAAGAAAATTATGCTTTATTATGGATGTGATAAAAGCATAAAAATAAAGGAAGCCAACATTGGATTGACAGGGTCCAGATGGGCCTGGGTCCAAACATTTGTTTTGAGGCCTGGTTCCCCTAGAAATGAAATGATGGCTGATCATAATGTTCTTTCATGTGTATGACAAGCTCTGGTATTTTCTGCTGAAATGGAAATGAAAGCTCTGCACACAGCCTGTCCCTTGGCAGGCTAGCTCAGAAAGGAGCCAAGCACCACCCTGAACACAAAATACCAGTTTGTGTCAAGTAAAAAGACAAAGATGGCTGTGTAGAATGTGATAGGTGCTCTTAGGATCAGGTAGGATTAAAAATGTGTTTTCATGCAGTGAAATAGGGTATGTTGCAATTTGTAGCAGTGTGGTTGTTTTTGAGACCATGCATTGGATTCCATTTTACATTCAAAACCAGCTTTTATTTTAAAATAGAATTTAGCTGCTAATGTGAATAAGAGAGTTCAACAATTTATTTGACCAGATTTTATAAACTCAAATTGTTAAAAGCCCTGTTTCCTTTGGACAATGATCTGTTTAACAACAGTTTCTTGAAGCATGCTGTCTATGGATCATGAAGGTGGTCAAGTAATACAAGTGATCTGCAAGTGAAGTTTGGTGCCTGTCTCTGTGTCCAGCACATATGTAACTGAACACAGGGTTGTATCTTTTGAGCTCTTATGCTCACAAGATGGCATCCTTGAGCTCTTTCAGTGGTCAGGTGTCTAAACTATGCATTCATCAGTTAAAGATGAACCCACAAACAATTACCGCTTCTAAATGCTATATGTGATATTAGGGTTTTATGTACTCTTTGTAACATTTTATAACCATTCTTACTCCTGATTGATTTACATATCCTTCACTATTTGATACTGTATGATGCATAATCATGTAGAAAACATAGTTATAGAAAATGTTAAGTCATCTATTGAAGGAAAAATAGTCCAGTGTATGCAGTGTGGATACATCATATGAAGAACTTCTACTCCTGCAGTTTTGAACAAAAACGTTGCATTTTAAGGCAACATTGTAAATTTAATCATTGTAAAAAATATTGTAAAGCATTACATTCCATGACATATATACATTCAGTCACTAGGCTATATAGATCAAACTGTTTGAATACCAGCAACAAAATAGTTTTCATACAGATTTTATAAAAGCAACAACAAGAAACAAAGAACAAACAATCTTAGTCAATGTTTTAGATGACCATACTGTGTTAACATGTTAATGCCCAAATACTGTAATAATGGCATAGGTGGCATAGTAAGTGACCAAGGTGTTTTCTGTAATGAAGTTTTGTAAGACATGTACACAGAGTTAGGCAGTTATGTTCAACAGGACTAATCAGTGTTATTCTGTAAATTTAATATGTTTAATTATAAATCCTAATATAAATAATCCCAAAGCTGTCCAAGACATTTTGGGATGAGGTAACCCACTCTGTTTTTCACGTTGTTCCTGACAGCTCTGCAAACCAAGAATTACATGCAACATTACATAATGTATGAGCTTTGCGTTTTATGTTCATGCTTGATGATAGTGTAAAGCACTTTATTGTAACCTGTGTTTAAAAGGTGTTATATAAATCAAGCCTCTCTTTTGCAGGAAGACCCTGATCACATTCACACCTGGAAGCTGGCCAGTACAACCACAGCCTGAGCTATAGACCTTGCTCAAGGGCACCTCAGTGGTGGTAAATGAGGGAGGGCAAGCACTGCTTTCCACACCCAGATTTTATCCTGCCGGTCTTGTGATTGAACCGGCGACCTCCCAGTCACAAGCTCACTTCTCTAACCTTTGGGCCACCACTGCCCACTTCTTTATCACTCAAGCACATACACTGCTGCATTCTGAAAATATACCAAAAATGATCCTCTGAACTGATTCTCCACCAAATCCAGCAGTTGATTACTGATTCAGTTTACAGCTTTCTTCTGTTGACCTCTGACAATGATTTCCAGGACTTTGGTAAGATCCATCATCTTAGTGAGCATATCCATGATGTCGGGATGCTCCCTGGCTCCACTGATGAACTCCTCCAACGTCAGCTCACCTGAGACGACAAGTAGTAAAGATGAGAATGGCATGTATACATTTTAAATATTAGGATTTGTCATAATGGGGATTATTATATTTATGCAATATTAGAGTCTGGACTGGTCATGGTGACATTATACCTAACCAAGAACACTGTTGTTTCTTCAGGGCATATCAGTACATTAGTAATGGATTGACAGTAACATATTCTTTACCTTCTCCGTTGACATCAATCCTCTCATATATAAGAGTCACAATCTCATCTGGAGGGATGTCGTAACTTCTGGTGATATCCTGAATAGCCTGATAAAGAGTTTACACAGATAATTGTTAGTTAAATGGACCTGCAAGATTTTAATTTGAATAAAAAGACTGTTCTTTCCTCATTCAGCAGCTGGGTGCAAGAACTAATTAGAAGACCTAATAAGTGAGTAATATGTAAAACAAATAATCTTTTAAAAAGAAAACTGTATTCTGGTTCTACTACACCCATTACTGAATCTAAATTTACTACTACCGCTACAACTGTGACATATACTAGAATTGCATGCCAAATTGAAGTGTTACATAGTAAATGGGTCATGATTTGACTTGATTGGTGAAAAGTATTAGTAATTACACTTATTTAAGTGGTCATAGTATGCTCATTTTCAGATTCATAATGAGGTTGTACCAGAATAGGTTTACATGGTTCAATTTTCGAAAAACACCATATTTCTCTAATAATGCACATTGCTGCAGCACCTCTTTTCCCCCTGTGTGTTGAACGCTCCGTTTCATTTACGGAGTGAAGCATCTCACATCTATTCAATGTTTGTTCGGCGTTGCACCTGCGCAGTGCCTAGTTAAGGCTGTGTTTCTCCCATAGACTGTATATAAAAAGGTTTCTCCACCAGTATTTTTAGTCAAGCATTATGACACGTGTTACAAAATGACACAGATAGGTTGCGGAACAAAAGAGTGGACTACAATCAAGCTGTTTTCAGACAGTTCAGAAGCAGTGTTTTCAGTTGTGGTGGACTTGGCTTTTTCACTTTGCAAAGCTATTACATGCACAAAAAAGATACATAATGGTGACAAGGTGAAAATGTGTCATGTAATCTGTAGACTGTATATACTGTATGACTTCCTTGGTGAGTGAATTAGGTTATAACCATGGCCATATTTAGACGGGGTTAGGTAAGAAGCCCACTGGATTAGGTAATTAGTTCATGGCCAGTAGAACGCATTTCTGCTCATTTTGAGAAGAGCAGCTGAGGTATGAGCTGCTCCATTCCTTAGATCTGTTCCTTTCATCAGAAAAAGGACTTGTTGCTGTACTTAGTCATGTTAGAGCTGCATTTGACACCACTGACCATCACATCCTATTACAGAGAATGGGACATTAAATTGGCATTAAAGGAACCACAGTGAACTGGTTTAAGTCATATTAATCAGATTGAACTAGTCTGTGCATTTATTAATTCTAGACTGGATTATTGCAATTCCTTATTAACAGGTTGCCTAAATGATCCAGAATGCTGCGGCATGTAAACTAACAAGAATATATGGTTACATGTGGTTCCTAAAGTATTCAAAAGTAGAATGGGAGTCAAAAACTTCAGTTATCAAGCTCCTCTCCTGTTGAATCAGGTCCCTGTTTGGGAGGCAGACACCATCTCCACATTTAAGAGTAGGCTTAAGACTTTCCTCTTAGATAAAGCTTATACCTGTAGTTAGGGCTGGCTGAACCATCCCTTAGTTATGCTGCTGTATGTATGATGTACTTTACACTAATTATGAAACATTCAAAGAAAATATACTGTACCTTAAATATAGTCTCCAGTTCCTCTTTGTCAATTTTGCCATTTCCATCTTGATCAAAGAGCTTGAAGTACCACTTTAGTTTCTGGTTAATTTCTCCTTTCAGTAATAAACTTATTGCAGCAATGTATTCGACAAAGTCTATATAACCATCCTGCAAAAGGAAACATTAAAGATACAGTTAGGGGAAGGACTAAAAATCTATGTGCTAGCATTGCAACACCAAAACGTATTATTTCAATTCAGATTTTCAAAATAAGAATTGTATGATTTGTCATTCTGTGCAATCCAGAGTAAAACTATACATATTTATGTAAATCAGGTCACATTCCTGATTCAGAATCTGTAAATCATGTCCACCTAATTGACAATTTATGAACTTTTGTCCTAAGATTAGTGAAAGAGTTCAGGACTCGCTAGACAAAAGTTTAGACTTCCCTCTTAAAATGTCAGATATTTTTGCAATTTATGAAAAGTACTATGAAAAGTAATATAGCGAGCCTCTTATTTTCCACCACAAAGTTTGGTACTATGATACAAGATTTGTTCAACAGGGAGCATGCATCAGGCATTCACCAAGCAACTGCCTCATCAGTTGGCAAATCTTTACCAGACTCACCAGACTAAGGGAATGCCACAATCCATTGTTTTCATGTACAGAGATGAAGCAATTGGTTGCAGGTGTTTTCTTACCCCATCCATGTCAAAGGTGAGGAAGATCTGGTCCACATAGCTGCTGGCCTCCTCTGTCATACCGTTCATTTCAAGGATAGTTTTGAGCTCAAAGAGCGTTATGAGCCCTGAAGGAGACTCCTTCATGAATTTGGTGTACCAATGGTGCATGTCCTCCTCCAGGATATCATCCAGGCTGGACCAGTGGGTGCCCATTATTCCTCCAGAGGTATGATTTTGTCCAGAATCCTGCAGAGAGCCAGTGGTAATGTTGAGACGAGAGAAGAAAGCGTCTGTACAGAGCAATGAAGTCTGACTGAAACCTCATTCAATGACCGCCTTAATCTTTAAGTCTCGGGAAAGCCAAAAGCAGAGATAACACTTTAATGAGATAACTGTAGAAGTCTTCCAAGAATCTCAGGACTTTGCAAGCTATATGACTAAAGTGGAGTTGGTTGGCAACATCCAGAGTTAGTACTCTAACAACAAGGGAAACTCCCTTGGGTTCTACAGGGTTTAATTGAAGACCAGTCTGACGTGGACCTGGGTGACAAAGTTGCATTTCTTTTATTCTACAACTACCATTATTTTGTATTCTCACGTGCATAGTCACATTTCTTAATGCATGCAAATAAATAATCTAAATTTGCCCAAATAGCTGTGCGCCCACCAACAGAGGTTATCACGTCTCTGGAATTCCTCATGGAACTGCAACTTATCCTCTATTAAAACATAAACACTCCAGGGTCGATATTTCTAAGCTACAAAACACACATTCAACCCCTTGTGAAATATTACATAAAAGTTATTTTTATTGATGTATAAGATATAAATGTATGTGCATTCTTTTCAGAAGCTAACCATTTACATTTTTACATTTTGTGATTGTAAGAAGTCCTGTCATTACACTTACAGGCAGCAGTAGCTCCGTCCGTGGGGACTTGGCTGGAAACCAGAGGGTGGCCAGCATGGATCAGTCATGCGATGTGTGGACTGGTAGCTGGAGAGGTTCCAGTTATCCTCCTGGGCAACACCAAAGGTGCCCTATGTATGTACATCGTACCTGTTTGTGTATAATAACAACTGAGAGAAAAAACTGATTTCCCCTAGAGAGATTAATAAAGTATGTCTTCTATTATTTATTTATCTATTTTTGTTTGTTTTGTTTTGTTAAGAATGCTTTTCAAAGATACAGCAAAATGTAAAGGAGCAACAATGTTATCACTTTGATACCTCAATGCAGTATTAAATGTTTAATTTCTAAAATTGAAAACAGGTCAGGTTTGCAACAGCTTAACAATAAAAAAACATTTTATATTTGCTCACTGAGTACAATCCAGTCAGATGTCTCGTGTCATCAGGTGATCTGGTGTGTGTGTGTGTGTGTGTGTGTGTGTGTGTGTGTGTGTGTGTGTGCGTGTGGTTTGGGTATGTGGGATGATTGTGTGGTTTGTAAATGTCTTTTTTTTTTTTTTGCTGTTTGCACTTTGATTTCATATAAATGTTAATAAATTACAACTGTCCATGTTGGGCCTAAATAGGATAAAGCATATTTAAGAATTTCTTAAGACACAGTACATAACCAGTAAACTATTGACTCAAGCCTTATAAGGAAAATCAGGTTTATACTTAAGCATGTAAGAGTACATTTTATCTGTGACAGAGTTTGATACAATACAGCTACATATAAACTTTTCACACCCAGAATGGATAAATACATTTGACCAGCATCAGTGACCCCTGACTGCCTTCAGAGGATTGATAAAGGTTTGAGGGTGAAGTGCTGTTAAAACCAACCTGGCTATCAAAGATCAGAGAGCTTATTATAGTAAATCTGGTGTTAGGCGATTAACAATTCTCAAAATAGGATTAGGAAAATGGACCACGAGTGACTACAAACAACATAGGCCACTAGCATCTGTACAGTGTAGGTGTACATAACCAGGATCCATGCTGCTGCGCTGTGCCATGGCATGGTGTCTCACAGCTGCCAAGCAGATTAAGAAATGTGTTTACTTGAACAGAACAGTGATAGACACTAGCAGAAAATACAAACCATAGCCATAAATACGGTAAAGAACAGCTTAAGTCAGCTGAAGTTGTCTAGTCTGAATCAATAAATCCAGTCCAACAGAAACATGCAGGGTTATTCTGGTTTATGACAACCTTTGCAATATTTGAGAGTTTCAAAGAGCAGGTGGGGTGATTTGGTTTTATGTACAGTAAAAGGCCTTTCGAAATATCTCATTGAGGCACTGCTGATTAAATTTGACCTTTTGACCAACGTGTGACTGTCATGAAGCAAGGATGCTGTTGGTGGCCCGGGAAAAATAAATCCTCAGTATTTCCTTCCATATACAGCAAGGCCATAGCCATGGAGTCAACATCAAGGGGGTTGGGGGAAATTCTGAAATTACTTAATGTCTAATAATGTCTTGCAAAGGGAAGCACTTATCCGATACGGATATCTGATATCGGCTCGATACTGACTCACATAGCTGAATTGGCTGACAAGAGGGCCAATCCATTCAATTCAATTCAATTATGCGCGTGTTACGCAGTGTGTCAGCACTGCGCTGATTTTGTCACATTTTTGTCACCCAACTACCAATCATCCATTTTCCACTTATTTACTCTGCTCCAAAAAGTGTCCCGTAAACAAATGATGGGCAAGGGGAATATGCTCAGAATATGGGCTGTTCTAGCTAATGAACAGAACATACTGAATGCTAGCTAGCTGACATTCTGACATTACATAACCATATATAAAATTCATCATCATCTCAATCAATAATAATACTCATATTGTTGTCTAGTTTTCCACTTGGTAATACATTTGAAAGTAATGAAAGAGACATTAGCAGTGGCATCTGGGGTATGGCAATACCACTTCTACAAACACGCAGAACTGCAGTGCACCAAAATACTAAAACAGGTAGTAATAATCATAGCAATTTGTTAGGATTAGTTATGATTACATTTGCTAATGATTATTTCGGATGGCAGTGTGTGGATGCCTGTCCTAGCACTAGCATAGCTGAAGTTTTTTATTTATATATTTTATATCAATGAGTAAGACATTTTGAGCATATTTGAATTTTGGGAGGATGTGTCCCCCCAGTATAGATTATAGATATGGTCCTGATATTATTAGAATTATTATTATTACCTATTCATGTCAAACACAATATGGATTCTAATCATGTCTTTTCAGAACAAACGACATTAAGTCCTCAATTAAACTCTTAGTTGTGGGATTAAATCATCTTGAAACAAAAAATTACTGAAATTGGGCACACTGTGTTTTTATGTGGACTTCCCTCTGAATGATAATTTATTGCTCTATAAAACCCCAAAACTTAATAATTTCCATGCAAACTCAATACTTGTTTACACCATATGATAATTTAATCCTCCATTGTAGAAAGGAGGATTAACTGACTAAATATGTACTGTACTGTGACTTCACATTAACTGCAGTTTCAGTAGTGACATATACTGTGTCTGCAAAAATATACTTTATTTCGGAAATTACTGGCCTTATATTTGTTTTATCTTACATGACTATTTCAATCAAATCATTACCATCAACCTTATTCATATGTGCCAAATGCAACCAGTTAAAGTGAAGACTAATTAATAACCATCTGGTGGAAGATTGACTGTGACCTGATCATTTGGCATAAACATGTAATAAGATGTAATTTTATTAGAGACATGTTGACATGATCACATCCAGGAAACAGACTCGCTCATACTGACACAGTTCTAGTTTATGAACATGTGACATACCACCAGTGCTATTACATGCAAAATCATCTATGCTCCATCATGTAATTTTCCTGGATAAATCTCTAAAGCTCTCTATGCAAATGTTTTTTCTAGAGTGTTCCACAGTTTTTGTTTGCAAATCGTGTTTGGTGATGGAAAATAATGGCACACATTTACAAATATAAACACTTGTATTTCCATTATAAACAGTGATAGTCAGGAATTAATATATAAAAAAACAACATTGACATTTATACCAATACTCTTACAGTCAATAAACTTGAAGTTAAACAAGGCACAGTAATACACAATAAAAGCTCTGTCTTGGTTTGCATTCTCTTGAGTTAAACAACTCCGTTTCACAGTTGGCAGATGTCCATTTTACCTTTATCCCGCACTGTTTATTGATTTTAATTAAGAACAGTCTTTAAAGGCTATTAAAGAGAACTCACAATGAGATCATCCATATGACCTACAGCCATAATTCTGACTTGCGTGACTGTGGCCATGTAGTTTCCTGTGGTGAAGATGCATAATATGCAAAATTTCTACAGCCTGGGAAAATGACACTGAGAAAACACATGCTACAAACATCCACCTTATTGTACATGGTGTTGTGTCTCAATGAAATGACAAAAAAACAAGATATACACCCATGTCCCTGTCTGTAAAAAAATTTCCTTAGTGTCTTAAGAACATTTTTAGGGAAACTGGGTCAATATACATCTGCCCTGAATCATCTGGCTGCTGGTCGTATAGGAACTGTCTGAACACGTTGTACACCATCTCCCTGCTCAGAGTAAAGTTTCTCAGCTGATCCTGCTGTTCTTCAGGCATGAGGAATGTCAGCTGGTAGTCAGCAATGACTGAACCACTCCTGTGGGAAGAGTAAAACAAGTTCTGTAGCTCAGCACATTTTTCCTCTGTACAATGGACACATGATAGATAGATGATAGACAGATACTTTATTTATCCCAAGGGAAATTCAAGTATCCAGTAGCATACGAAACATACATATATTAAACATACATTAAACCTATATTAAAATAGAATTAAAATAACTTATAACACAGCAGAACAGTGCAAAAACAGTAAACAGTGCAAATGGAGTGCAGATGGAAGTAAAGAGTACAGATGGAGGTAGAAACTGTTTTGTCTATTGTCCTCCCTGCCATGACTACGGGCTATCGTACAGTCTGATGGCCAGGGGGACGAAAGAGTTTTTAAGTCTGTTGACATGACAAAAGGCTAAATCCAGTGGTGTAAACTGTAGTTTATAACCACTGTGAGTTTGTTGTGTGTTTACCTGAAACCATATATTTCAGCTTCGGAGAAGTATCGTCCCAGAGCAGGGGAGGATCTGTAGAAGCCAGCCAGCTGGGTGGGGCAGGTTGGGACATGCAAAAGCAAACAATGTGAGAGAAATGTTTTTGGCTGATACTTCACTGTGAGCTCTATTCTGGTGCTGAAGGCTTTCAATTTAAATTCTCTGTAAAAGATGAAACCAGCGACAGAGGGCTTTTCAGCTCTTGAAAACAGCAGCTATGAACAGGTTTGGGTTTTGTGAGGCTTATGGCATAACTGGCTCAGTTAATAGTGTGTTTTTCACTTGGAAGTGATGAATTTTACATGCACATAATGTAGAGTTGTCACTGGCAGTTGTGGAAGTCAGATATGCAGCTCTGGACTTACTAAACCAAATAAGACTATAGTGTGCAATGTCATTTTATAACACAGGGTTAAAGGTTATCAAGAAAATCCACATTAAAATCTTTTTCAAATATTTAGCTTTGGTTGCATTTTCTTGTATTTAATTTACCATATTCTTCCGAACATGTTTGCTGTTATTGTATGTGTTTAATGTAAAGCACACTGACGTTATTTGTAATGAAATGTGCTATATACAGTAAATAAAATGACCTTGCCTTGCCTTAATAACTAAGTATTCACTTTACCATTAACTAATTGCCTTGTTTTTTCCTCCAGCTGTTACATATTAAGCCATTGTACTGTACGCATCAAGTCAATTCTCATTCCATGATGTTCAATAGTTAACTGCAAAAGAAAGGAAGAAACACTGTACAAAATCCTATCACACAATGTAATATTCCACAGTTCATATATTTGTTCATATATTGTAATAAATACAACCAGTTAATATGAATTTCTCAAGTACATTACAACAACATAGGTCATAATTGGCCAAACCTTTTCTTGAAGGTCAGCAGTAAGTTGTTGGCTTCCTTTGGAGAAGGGGGTGAAAAGTTCTTCTGTGAAGACCATGTTGGGCAGTTGGAAGCTGCCATTGAAATACCGAGGAACTTTAAACAATGAAGCGTCAAAGTCCTCATCTGCGTCCCCATGGATTACTGCTCAAAGACAAAATTGGTCAAAGCCTCAAAGCTGTAAAAAGTAACTGCTTTAACATTAGCATTAGCTTTGGATGGTTTTATACTTCTGAAATAGTGTTGATTTTATGCTCTTGCATGAGCATTGCTAATAACATACACTTTGGCCTTTAGCTGGCCATATCCTTGTAACATTGTGATTTAAAGTTAGGATAAATCGCCTTGTTACAGATAAATCTTTACCCAACTTCACCCTGTTTGTGCGTATTATTTAATAAATGTAGCATAATTTAAAACAATATCCAATACACACATCATGACACATTACCTGAGCACATAACCAGCGAAATTATAATTGCAGCAATAATGAGGAGAAAAATGAAGATGATGATCATCCATAGTCTGACTTTCCAGAAGGCGACCTCATTCAGCTTTCTCTTTATCCTGCACATGCAGCTCTAAAAGTAATAATGAAATTGCTTTGTTAAAATATGGCTACAGTCTATGGTAGTTCAAGTTTAATACTAATATATTTATCTAGATCTAACATCATGTTATTGTGACATAATTCAAGAAGAAGACATAATTAGAGACACTGAAAGAAGAACAAAACACTATCAAAAGTTGTAAGAAGAGTACTGTTTTCATTATTGACAAAACTAATAAAACAAGAGGAAAATGTCTAAGTCTATGTCTAAGTACTAAGTTATTTATAGCTGTACTGTCCTCTCTGGTGTCCGGAGGATGGATGTGAAAAAACTCAAGAGTAACAGAAAAGTTACACTTCCTTTATTCTAAGTGTAGAAGGAAATGACCAAGAAACAACAACATTCCAACATTTTCAGCTTCAAAAACTCAAAATACCTCTGAAGGAGTTTGTGTATTTCCATGATTCCATTGAGGCTCTGCTGCATGGCCAGAGGGTATTGTCTCCCCATTACAACCAGTAGTCTGGCAAAAAGCAGAGAGCAAACATACTGCTAAATAGAATAGGCTTAAGTCATCTAGGGATGTGTGTTGATTTTTTCATGTCCAGGAGTGCTGAAAGTCTGAAAATTCATTCTAAACATATGTTAAACTTGAACAAACTGTAAACCTGAACAAATCCAAATATAAGATATACAAGAGCACAGCCTTGATGGAAGCTCACCTGTACAGAGAGCAGCCCATCGGTCTCTGTATTTTCAGGGACCCTGTAGGCCTCACCGTCTCCATTACCTGCTGTCACCTAAAGGAGCAGGCAAGAATTAGGCTACTATGAAATGCTCAACGCCACCAAGGACATTTTTTGTAAACTGGATGTATTTTACAAAGAGCTGCAATTAGATTGTCTTCATTACTGATTCATCTCTTGATTATTTTCTCTCGAAATCAAATCTATTTAACAGCAAAAATTGTGAATTATGTCCACAAAGCCAGAGCTGATACCTCCAAGTTTTCATCCTTCCAACAGTAGCCTATCCTACAAACCCAAAACTTATTATAACTGAAATTATTATTATTATTATTATTATTACTCTAACTGGAATTAGACAGGACACAGAACCTCCATTAACTTACCCGTTCACGAGCTGTTCCATCGTTCCCATTCGTCAGGATGGTCTGCAGTTCAAAGTCCATGCTGGTTTGTTTCCCACCAACTACCACTGACAACTAGGAGCTGGAGTCCCAATCCGGAAGTGTCTGTTAAGTGTCAAATAATGAAACGCACAGGCAGATTCGGTTCAAAAAGGCAACAGTTCCTCAAAAACTAGAGGTCACTCAGCGAGAACACATTGTTAGACCTGACAGCTCGTGGCGTGGGAATGTTTTTCCCCCTCCGGACAAGATCGTTCGTTTCTTCCTTCTCTGCTTCCTCAGTCCTTTTTCAGCGGGCCAACCAGACAGGTGACTTCGTCAAGTTTCGGGTGAAGCCGACGTCGGAAGGCGTTGTCAAGTGAAGAAAAGGAGGGGGCGACTGAATTTGACAAATCTGGCATATCTAGGAAATAACGTCATTGTACTGTGATTCACAAATACTATTACTGTTAAGAGAAATAAAAGTAGGCCTACGTTAAATAAAACTGAAACTTTTATTCGCGCTGTAAGTTAACCTATATAGGCCTACGCACGCCGCTTGATCCAGCTTTTTCCACTAGGCAAATGCCTCGAGGATTTGATAATGATTAAATATTTGCTTAAGCAAAGGAAACATCTGATGGACCAAGTGGCTGTTGGGAAGTGTTTACTTGCTGTAGCCTATTTGTCAAATTCAAAATACCTTTCATGATGTAGGCCTAAAGTAGCCTATTGCGTTTCAATTATTTTGTTTGTTATTTAATTGAACAGGAACCTTTGATCCAAGTATATGCTTACTTTTTACTGTAAGAAACATGTTTACAGTGCACAGCTCCTATCACTTGCTGCCCCACCTGCTTTTGACTTAAGGCTATTCTCCTATAAAACTGTCAACAGTAAAAACAAAACATGGGCTTGTGAATTAAGAAATCAAAGGTCACTTTGGGGGTAGAGAACTAATTACAGAAGGCAGAGATACATTTTTTTAATCATTATTGCAATTTCTGCAAGTCTAAATGGCCACCAATACAGATCACAAACGGCCCCAGGTGAAAACTAGATTTTTAAACCATGATAATAATGACCTCAGGAACAGGCACATCATGTTCTAAAAAGATCAGGTCATATGTAGAGGTATCAAAATAACTGAATTTTATGAATACATTCCTCCAAATCTGTTAATATGTTTAGTGTAGGTTGAAATTGGGCAGAGCTGCTGTGGAAAATGATGTGACTCCATATAACAAACAATTATCAGTGTCATTCATCCTAACAGATGCAATAAAGTGTAGTTTTTGAGGGCAATTCGAGGGTCAGTGGAGCTCCGGGGCTTAAGTGCAATTTATACTTCTCCGTCAAATCAACGGCTACGCAGAGGCTACACCGTCGCCTGACGTGCACCTTCTTAGCCCAGAAGTCTTTGAATGGGTTGGGAAGCTTTTGGTGGTGGTTTGCAGGATGGCCACACAGGAGAACTGTAGCAGGCAGAGACACTTCTGCATCATCATTATCATAATTACCAGGGCAAAATTCCTTCTGTTATGTTGTGCAGCTTTCTGAGACATTTTAATGTTCAAAACTTGCTTTCTTACACAGTGTATGCCTTATAAATATGTCAATAATATTGATTCTTTCAACCCAAACATTTGACCAAACAATTTAACTTTTTTTCTTACATAAGAAGGAGGCTGTTTATTTTCTTAACATTTCTGTAGATAACTACTGAAGACCCAACTCCACAGTAGCTCTGTGATTTAGATATTTTGTAGCATTACAAAATAAAAGACAAGCAGAGAAGTAGACCCATATACATCAAGAGAAAACTAGTTAAGCAAATAACTAACTTTCAACCTAAAGTGATTGTGATTTGGTACGATGTCAAAACATTTGATATTTCTGCTAGCATATATGTGAAGACTAATAATATTGTTGTCTTTTTTTCAACCCAGCATTCAGTATTTCTAAAGTCCTGTGCGCACGACAAAGAAGTGGACCCTTAAACATGTCTTTGACTTTGTCAAATTTCAGTGAAGAAAAAAATTGCAGACTCTGTACAATATGACACAAATTTCCTCTGCCTAATAATGGATATGGTATAAACTGATGCATATTTCCATGTGCAGAGACCGGCGGCTTCTCACAACTCTCCAGTGTTTATAGTACTCTCCACTGTTCCATAGACAGCCAGGAGAGTGCAACCGAGGGACTTAAATCAGAACAGGTACCAAGACATTCAAAACAGAAGATCTTTTTATGAGGAGTATTTTTCAAAGAGTTCTCTTAATCAAAGCACTAAATAACTTATTCATAAATGTGTTTGTTTTTTTCTTACATAAATATTCACAGCTTACACCATGTCATTTCCCCCTTGCTGTTTCTCTTGAGGCATCTCCTCCTGCCCTATATCTGTACTAACATCGCCCTCTATCTGCTGGACAGGGCAAGGCTCTGAAAGCTGCTGTTCCTCCTCGAAAATCTTCGAACTCTGGGCTTGTTCTGCTTCCTCCTCCTCCTTCTCCTCCAGATGTTGCCTGTCATCTGGGTCACTCCTTGCTACCTCATCCTCTGTTTTTTCACAGTCCCTGTCCTTCTCTTCAGCTTCTTTCAGACTGGCTGGCTGTCCATATTCAGCTTCCTCTGCTGGGCTGTCGAAAACCTGGTCCATGTCCCCATTTTCTTTTGGGCTGTACAGTTCACATGGGGACAGAGCACTCCCAAAGGCTCCCGCCTCCTCTCTAGCTGACCTTCTGTGCTGTCTCGTGGGCGGGCGCCTCTTGAATGATAGTCGTGCACGAGTCTGTTTGGAAAAGATGAGTAAGAGCCAGCAGGGAATTTAGATCATGCTTTTTTTTTTAAAACACAGTTTTAAAAACGTATATCACAGCTAACAGCTATGAATTGTACTTAATATCAATTAATTTGTATCATCAAGTGATTTCTGGTAACTGTCCATGTCTAATAAGCAAATGCGTGACAGCACTGCACAAAATGGTACCTAGGGACTCTAACTAGGCTAAGGGGATTATGTCTTCAATCCCCCTTGCAGCAGCACTCATGTACTACAGGGGCATTTGCTTCAGCTTATCCAGGGCCTGCTTAAACAGAAGATGCAGGACACCCACTGAGAATCACGGTCAACGGGGACGGGGACCATGTGTCCGGCTGTGATGTCACAGCTCACTCCGCAAATACCGTGAGAAACACTCATGGGGCTCAATGTGACTCAGAACTTGTGCAAAAACCCATGCAAATATATTAAATATAAGAGTACTAACTACTCATAAATGCTTATGTGCTAAACTGATGTGTTATCAGTAAAGAATCTAAAGGGAATATCATAATATAGGCTGAACTGTGTTGTTCTGAAAGTCATGCTCTATAACAGGATAAAGTAAAACCACAAAACTTATCAGGAGATGTTGTAAAAAAAAAAAATAGCTCAGATCTTTTTGTCCTCAAGATTGTCAGCCTAATGTGCAGCTTTGTATGAGTCCATACCTTGTTAATGCTTGGCAGTGGGGTGCCTTCAGGAGGGCTTTCAAAGCTGACGGTATCCTCCTCTTCACTGGACAGATGTGAAGGCCGCAGGGTGGGGCTCAGGGGGCTCAGAGGGCTGCAGGGTGGGGTGGGAGACAACGGTGCCGGCTGGAGCTTCACCTCAGGACTCTTGGGTGAAGGCAGCAGAGCAGTGGGTGACAGAGCAAGATTGGCCTGCAGGGTGAAGGAATATCCTGAAGCCTGGACACTATTATCTATTTAGTACATTACAACTTAATTTAAAAAAAGACCTGAATTTATTTTAACTCTAAAATCTAAGATTGTGAGCCAGTGTTAAATTCAACATAAGAGTCACTCTCTCAGGAGGTCTGTGGCTCAGGTCCTGTTTGGTGACCTGAAGTTGCTTAATGTCATATTCTTCATATGTTAAAAAATATTTGTAATTTTGTCATCCTGATTGTACATACTGCCATTTTACTATGTTGGTCTATTCTGTACACTAATCATCTATTGCATGTCTGTCTGTCCTGGGAGAGGTATCCCTCTTCTGTTACTCTTCCATAAGTTTCTTCCATTTGTATCCCTGTTAAAGGGTTTTTTGAGGAAGATTTTCATATCTGAATCAAAGGTCTAAGGACAGAGGGTGTTTGAGGCCCTTGGGGAAAATTTGTGATTTGAGATACTGGGATATGTAAATAAAATTGACTTGACTCTATTAGGAAATATAATAAATAAGTGAACATGGGTATATTATTAAAAATCATATATGTAAAATTGCCATATAAAAGGACACAAGTATTATTCAGGTATACATTTAGGACATTGCACTTGTCACTTTCTACAAGCACATCCTGAAATTCCCTTTAAAGTGTCACAAACAACACCTATATTCAGTAATATTCAGTCTTAGAACTAAACTACATAAAATCTTGTGAGTCCCCCAAACACTGTTCAAGTTCAGAGGAGAGTATCCTACCTGCACTGGGGAGAAGAGGAAGAGAGAGAAGCGGCAGCCCTTTTGTCCCATGGCTGCCCACCGTGTGAACTGCTAACCAAAGGAACGATGGTGGCGAGTTAGAGCCTCACCCCAGGCTGGGTGGCCCAGGATCCCATTAGCTCATTAATCTGAGCCGATTTTGGCATCAGGGGACAAGCCCTTCCCCTTTTTCTCAGCATGCAAGCAGCTCTGGCACCACTGTCAACTCAACAGTAGGTGGCAGTAATGCTTTACATATCTCAATCTCCTGATGAATTCTGCCTGTATAATACATCCTCTAATAACAATTCATTGGCTAGCATTTGTTTTGTGTCCTGTTTCCCTCACAAAGTATTAAAATGTTGAAAGGTGCATCTACCTGAAGTTTCTCAATGATGGGGGAGTTCTTCATCTTGATTTTAAAGGGATTTGGGGAGACAATCGTTTTCTGTATGAGAACACAATCAGACCAATGAGAAGCAATTCACAAAATCATCACAAACCATTTGAAACATGCAAAATTGATACTGAAATGTTAAGTGATACTTCCATTTGGTTTACAATGTGTATTGTCATTACACAGTATACTGGGACATGTCCAAGTAGTATTAAGACTTAACAATATAAAATAGTATTAAATGAATAAAATAACAAAAAAATACCTTTCTATTCTGCTTGTGATGTGTACATTTTTGCTCTTTTGTTGTGCTTTGTGCTTTCAGTTGGCCATAATGCAAATGTAAGTTTGTGTGGTTTGTTTGGTAGTCATTTCACTGATAGAATAACAAGCACAACTTTCCCAGTGTTTTAGGCAGAAAGGAAAAAAGATAAATCAGTGATTTGGCAACAGTACACTGGCTACTGTGATGAAACTGTGAGGTTGCAATGAAATAAACAGTACTAGTGTGTTTTCTGGAGCTTTCCTTTATATATCAAGGAGACAGCTTTGTAGCACATGGTTTAGTAAAGGAAAAAAATGACTTACATCTGATTCTTCATTTTCATCTTTTTGATTTTGCAACTTTAGGGACGAAGGAGGTCTTCTTCGAAAATGCAACTACAAACAAAAAGGAGGCGGAATTATAATTAAAATTGTAATAACAAGCAGTCCACATGTATTCACATCCACATAACTATGAAAATAAACTATGTACAGAATGCGGAGTACTATTCTTCTAGGCAGACACACTGTTCTGTGTATTTTTGTGTGGCTACTGTAACATATATTTTAAAAGATACCTCATCATTTGATGTGGGCATTGGTAGAATATGACCTTTGAACCTTCCAGCCAGCTCAGCCACAGATGGCTTGGATGGAGAATCCTTCTGGAAAAGAAAGACATACAATCTAACTCAGAAATTCACAGCAGCCATTCACCATCCACAGAAATGAACCACATCTCAGTCACAGCAAAATTACACTAGTGAAACTGTTAACTGTAAATTTGTAAAAATAACTCGATCCCCTTATCAAATCTGGTATGTTGTTACTCCTGGAAGTGTAAAACAGAATGTCAGTGTTAATGAATGTTATGTTGGCATGACATGCACAAAAACTGAATTTTGTCTTTAGGACAGTGATTTGCTGAACAAAGACAGCTAAAAGAACAATACATTCTCATTGAGCATGGTATCTGCCTTTTTGCAGCTGAGCAAGGAGATGTGAATATATTTTACTCTTCTCAACGTGAAAATACAGATGGGTTGAGAAACAAAGCAGGGAGCTTTCAATGCTGTCCTTGGAGGAACTCATCTCTTCTTCTGCTTGTGAGCATATTTTGGTGGTTTGGACACAGGAAGTGAGCCGCTCTCTCCACAGCTGTTCAGCATCACGCAGCAGCCTGTGACAGGAGGGACCTGTCCTTGCAGCCTCACACTGTTATCACTTTGCTTTCAGTCTCTCCCACTATTCCCAAGCTGATTGCTAAACTTGCCTCCTCCGCGCTGTCCTTTCATGACCATTTACTCACTCCACATATCTGTGGCCCAAGTGATAAGTTGGCTGATGGCTGCAGGCTGGAATGTGCACAGATGTAAGCCTAGAAAACAACACTCCACTATTATTCTGTGTTCCAGGTTTTAGACATTTGGACTGTGAATGGGTTGAGGCATTTGTTTACAACATGACGGCAGCCTGAGCTGTGCTAGAACTGTGCAGATTCTCATGCATCACGTCGCCATTTAATGATTTGCATTGTACAATCACTGCTTGTGGTGCTCCTCCCTTTCTCTTTCTGACTTTCATACCACATCTCAGTTCCATCTACTTTTATTGACCACTAAAAAGCTCATGCCTCTCCTCAGCTGCCAATTCTGTCACTGGGTGTGTCCTCTCAGTTCTCTCCGTTTCTGCACAGTCTGAGCCGAGTCCCATGGAAACATGGATCTCCCAAGCTTCACAGATACACACATTCCACATTTTAATCACACACTTTATTTTCCTTTCACCCCCTTGTTCTCAACATGACCTCACTACCTTGCTTCCTCCACCCAAATGTATTACAGCATCAGCTAACCCTGCAGAGCCTCTGTTAATGCTTCTCTGTGCCGCCTCTGTGTCCTAATCCACATCCCAACCCTTTTCCTGAGTTCTTTTTTCTCATCCGTGATAAATAGTAATCACCAGGGACCACCCACCCTCCACACCATTATTTTGTAACCTCTAATTGTTTAACCCTTTCCTCCTCCTTCAAAAACAAACACCTCCTTCAGAGAACAATCTCTAGTCACAACAGTGCAGGCAAAGGAAGTGGGGCTTTGTTTGTTTAAATCGCTGCTCAGATGCTGAAGAAAGAAAATCAAAGTTTCAGTTTTTCTATTGTCCAACTTTATTTAAAAGACACACAGGAGATAGCCCCATAAAAAATACATATAAAATCAATAATTTCTTTGGTCTTTCCAATGAGTTAATTCTATTTCTGATAATCGTTTTTAGAAAGTAATTTTGCAAAAAACATTTTCTTTCTGATTCTATGTTAAGGGTGACATCTGCACTCTTAATGTTAATGTTGAGAATGGATCTCGGGCATGTAGAGCAAAGATTATATTTTCCATATTTTGATTATTTTATAAATGATTGGTTACTGGCAAAAGTGACTTCAATAAAATGTGAGACATATATGAAGATGTAAAAGGCTTCTGTAGCATTAACTATCCAACAACTTTCTAGTTTTAGAAGAAGTAATTTCAGACCCATTAATATCCTTCCATGTGTCTTTTCACAGCATGCCCTTATCTTTAATAAGCTTCTTCATGCAGAATGAAAATAACGTCAGACTCTATGCAAATACGTCTCTGACTTAAAATACACTGACCATGTATACAGTGAGTATATAAGGTGACCGATGCAGTATTCATGTTTAAAATAAAAATGTTGTAGAAAGTATCCAAACTTCCACTGTTATTTTAGAACTACAATCTAGCACACTTTCTTGTAAGTTTTCGCTTGCTGCTATGAACCTTTTACAGAAGCATTGTCAGCAGGTATATGCAAAATGTATAATATGTATATACTGTAAAGTATAAAAATCTTGAACTAACTTTTAGTGTAATAATTTGCCTGTTTGTCTTTTATTTGAAAATGTTCATGTAAATGTTGTTTTCTCTCAGTTAATCTCAAATTGTTTCACTAACTGCGTCATTGAGATGAAAAAAAGTAACACATTACTTCATTAAGCAATTCAAGGCTTCTGGTTGGCTACAAGTATTGCACATGGTAAACTCAGCTGGGACCCCAAGCTCTGTGGAAGAGTGGGAAACTTTGCTTCACTGCAGTAGAGCAAGGCAAACTATTTCTGGGGCTCTAGGCCTGGGAAAAAGCCCTGGAGCTATGTAGGCAGTCTGGATCATGGCTCTGTAACCCCTCAGTTCCTAAGAGAGTGTCCCTGGATATGCTAGACCACATCTGAAACATACTGTAATCTAGCATAGATCAATTGAGCAAGTCTAAACAAGGAAAGGGTGAAAAAAAAGCTCCTTAAAGCGGTGCCTTACCCATGTGATTAAAGTATTTCCAAAAACGGGCCTGGGTCAACGCTAAAAAGAAAGAAGCTATTTCTGAACTTCCCTGGAAACAGCTCCTTTAGATGTTACTTGCTTTACTGTTACAAATACACTACAAACTTAACGAATAAATTAATTTACTCGTTTGAATCCCTAGGCCAGTTGGGAAAATATGGTGCAGTCAATGCTGATACAACAAATCTTTTCTTAGATTGTTTTTCCTCCCCAGGAACTCATGGAGCCTCTGTAGGTGCCATGGACAGCCTGCAGCCCAGCGAACACTGAGGTACTTTGAGTAATGCAGTGGAGCTGCTGAGCAGAGTGGCAAACAATTTAAGAAAAAGAGCATAGACTGATCACACATTTTCCTAAATTTTAGGACTTGTTTTGTGAATGTTTCAAACTTCAGATTGTAATCCAAAACTCTAAATTGCAGCTTGAGAAGAGTCAGTTCAGTTACTGTACCTTAAATAAATATCTAATTTATTGTTTGATGTGTTAATTACCAAGAATGCGAAATTAGCAGTGCAGTGTATTGTAGGGTTAGGTAATTTTCCGTCAAAACCAACATTTAAATTAACACTGTATGCCATACTGTATGCCATACTGTTTAGTGTAATGTATTCAGCTGTTTTGAGCCACTGTTGCTAAAAAACAGATGACCTCCAATATCTTTTCCACAGTACACATGACCACACCTGAAAACCCTCTATAAAAGACTGTGGTTTTCAGTGTGAATGTGAAGCGGAGTGTTGCAGGAAAAGTGTGTGCATCCTTAGTGAGCTGTGTTTGGATAAGCAGAGGTTAATCTAAAACAGTGTCTTAATTTTCAGGCGGTGGATGGAGACACGAGGTTTACTGTATGACCGGCAGATGTTTGGAAAGAGAACACAGAGACAAACAGATCACACAATGCCTGCTATTGTCTGTTCCTGTGATTCCTATTTCCAGAGGCAGGGGAGAAGAAGCACATGATATTGTCTCAGTAAATCCTAACATATCTGCTTGATAGAACAGCGGTGGTCAGAGAGCAACAGGCCATGTAATCTACCGTGGAGCTGATAAAGATGATGTCTGGCTCTTTAATCCTTCTTTAGCAATAACTCTGCCTTTTTTAATTCTCAATCCTCACAAGCTCTCGCTGGTGAGCCCAACGCTGTGGAAATCTGTCAGTGAAGACAAATAAAGCACACCAAAGAACAGCTGTTCAGAAAGATCTTGCTTAATAAGCTCTCCAAGCGTAATGGCTTCAGTTTGAGTCCGCAGACTTTGTTTTCATAAGTCAGCGTGTTCTGCCAGGGGGAAAACCACCACAGTGAACAGCTCCCTTCTGCCTACACTTGTTAAGTGGTAAGAGAGCAGACAGGCACCTTTTCGCTCGCCGCCTTTCCAGGAAAACATGATGTGTTTTTGGACCTGACATCATCTGAATATCTCACTTTTCCACTGCCCTCACTGGCACTGTGTTTGTGTGTTTTCATGTGAGTACATTACAAAGACCCTCAACCAGAGGGGTGAGGTCAATGAATCTATAAGCCATTGCTGCCGTTGTCTCAAGGGAAATGGGAGGTACTTCAGACACAGACTTAGCACTGTGAACACAGGGTATGGAAACAAATGTGAAATAAAATAATAAGCATGCAGTGAAAAGGAATATAAATCCAGATGACCTGGTAACAGAAAGCTGCTGATAAAGTTATATTGCTCAAGAAAAATGTGTCTTTTTCTTAAATGTGATAAATGCAACAACAAACAAGTCAAGACCCCTATAAGCTTTAAAGATATGCTATTTAAATGCAATTTGACTGGCAAATTCTGAAGATATGAGAACAGATGACAGGCCTGTTCATGGAATGCACCGTGATATTTCAATATGATAACTACAGTGGTCCGTATAAGATATTCTCAACTGTTGTGCAATGAGAAGGCGGGTTATGAAGAGTGAATGATGAGTTAGAAAAGATATCACAACATTTAAACACCTCACAGCAAACAGTCCTTCCCCCAAATGTTTGAGCATGAGTAAGAAAACTTTGATACAAGCATCTGTTGGGGATTCTACATGGTGTCCTGGTATTCTCATCCACTCTGATCCAGCAATTACAACAACAAAAACCATCTGGACAGTGAATCAGATAGTTGACATGGAGGCTGAGTAGCACAGACATAGGATGACTTCATTCAGTGAAGCCCTGCACCTTCCCCACAACAACGTTGTGTGGCTCCTGCAGAGATCCAATGCCACTGGGTTTGACATCCATTCATCCATGACAGACTTGGGACATTGCATACTTTAGGATCAAATAATCTGCTGCATTGTGGGA